AAACATGAATATGCTTCTTTTCAATAAACTGTCACTTTATGTTGGTTAATACTTGTTCAGCTCCAAAATAATCTATATGGAATAAAGACTTTAGCTGGGAATTGGACCTTTTACAGGCATTTGGGTCTGAGAATAAAAATGATATAAATAGTTTTGCTAACATAATTTCTCATAAACAATATCAGGGTATTTCATGGGCAAATAATTTCTTCACAAGAAGTTTATTTTGTCTAGCAGTTGGCTTGTTAATTCAGTGTTTTACAATAATTAACATTTACTGACAGTCGTACTTTTTGATAGAGACAGTATTCATTTATTAGATACTTGATTTTGCAGTTTATAAAATATCTCACTTGAGGAAGGGATCAGAGATGTCAACCAAGTAAATTTTTGTTCATGGTCATACATCCCTGAGTCTGCCCATGGCTGTAGGCTTTTCTATATTCTGACATATTGTACTTCTCTTTATCAATTCAGTAATTTCACAGCGAAAGTCTTTGGTCTGTGCCTCTTGTGCTTATCTTGACTGTGACCATATCTTTATGTTAATGGTTACATCTTTACTCAGGGGTAGGTGTGGAGGTAAGTCTAGGCAACTTAAAGTTATGTTACATTATTTGCAATTTTATTTTTAAGAAGTGGATCCAATTTAGGTTGTCTAAACTTAGAAGTAAGAGGTAGTTGTTCCTAAATTATAACCAATAGTTACTCACCATCCTTTTCCAGGATCTATAGCAAAAAACTAGGAGTACCCGTGTCAGGCTAACGAAGAGGCCTGCGAATCCCTTAAAATTTTGTGTTTGAACTTATGTGCCCTTTAAAAAAAATTGCTATAGCTATAATTTAATTGCAGAAGCTCTAACTTTGGTCTGCTTTGGAAGCTCAGAGGGCAGGGCTGTTTTTTCTTTTTTGTTCACTGATCTGTCACAAGTGCTTGGAACAGTGGCTGGTACATAGAAGGAGCTCAGTAAATATTTGTTGATTGAATGAATCTATAGATACCTACTCTTTATGCTTCTAGAGTCAATATGTCAATAACTAGGAGCTGAGGCCGTAAGGGCTGACAAGAGATCCCTGCCTTCAGGGAGCTTGTATCTAGTGGAGGAGATCCAGAGGAGTGCAGTTTATGATTTTAGCTGGCTGCTTATTTGCTTTTCCTACCAGACTCTGAGTACTTTGAGAGCAGCATCTTGGTCTAATCTTTATGTTTTATATGCTTAGCTTAGTACCTGGCATGGAGTAGGCACTGATTACGTTAATCAAATGAAAGAAAATTTTGATAGCCTTCATATGTCTAATTCAAGTTAGTCTTTATATTATAATTTTATCTTTCACTATGATGAACTCTCTCCACATGGTTTTTATCTTGCTCATTTATTTATTTTGCATGTTAATGGAGACCTTTTACAAAAGGTTGTGTTTCTTTTGGTTTTTCTTTGTTTTGACTCTTTGGTTGAAGTTATAGGCCAACATGAAACTATCCCTCCCTCTGAACTTACTCCAATTCTAATGTAATCCAGTGGTGATCTAGAGGCGAAGTAGAGTAACTGTACTTTTTAAGCATTATCAGCACTTTCGTATTTTGCCTTGATACATATCTGTCTGTTTGTCAGAGTACCATCTTGGGCTGTTTACTCATTCTGATTTACGGTAGCTCCTCCTCCTTTCTACTTCCTGGAGCTTTGTGTTCCCTTAGTGCCCTTAGCTATTTGTGCTCTTCTCTTACCGTGTTTTAAGGGTATCCTTTTTTCCTTATGATGTTTGGTTAATGATTTATCCTAATGCGTCATGTTGATTTAAAAGATGATGAGAATGCCTGTCTACCCAAGATAAAAGTGTAGACATAAAAGAAGTTTACAGAAAGGCAGATGTTGCTCTAAGATCTCTGTATTAGATGGCATACCCAGTGTGGAAGGCCTTTGTATTAAGTACATGGTGATTGACTCTGTTTCCTCATTTCTAATTTTTTCATGTTTTCTCCTCCTCTATCCTCTCCCTCTCAAAGCTTCATGATTCTCATATAACACTTCAGATAAAGTGATTCATTGTAAAATAATTTTATTTATCTTTTTAGTGTTTAGCTTTGAAAAAACTTCCTTTTTCAGCATTGCATTTGGTTTTCTGTACCTTCTAGGTTATCTTTTTTTTTCTTCTGAAAAGTGTATTGAGAGGGCTATTTGTGCATATCTGCTGGGAGGGTAATGAGGTTTAGACCAATATGTAGGGAGCACTTGCTACCAAAAGTATGTTTGCTTTCTTCCCTATATAGATTTTTCATATCACAATGGCGACTGGCAAAAATGGAGCTTAGATTTAGGTTTCAAAGGAAGACTGAGGTAGACCTGTTCAAAGACAGAAACCATGGCTATTGTCATTTTGAGTACTTCTATATATGCCATTTAAAGGGAAACCAGAGCATATGTGTGCACATATATGTTGTCACAGATGTTTATCTTCGTCTGTCTTTTCATGTGAGAGTAAGCTGTTGTGAAGAGGCTCTTAGCTGCAACATTACCTAAAGAACTTTCTCAGGTAAAATAAGAGAACTTGTGTCAGTTCTGTCACCATTTTGAAGCTGTGCTGAGACTATTTTCCCTTGTGTTTTACTGATCCTTAATAAGAGGAGCAAATTGGTAAGAGGAGCAAAAAGTTGACATGGCAGCTTTTCTATTTCAAGAAATTAAATGCTTGCTTATGTTTTATGGTATAAATCTTCGATGTTCAGTGCCATACATAAATTATTCAGATTTATTATGTGTCATTAAATCTTGAGCTTTTTATTATGGTAGTGTACTTTTTTCTTCTAATTTCTATTGCTGACTTTTCTATATGTGGACAGTTTTTAAAGCCGTAGTAGAGTTTAATTTCAGTATTCTCAATGAATTATGAAAACAGTTCTAGATTCTGCAGTTTCAGTTATGAGGTAGTCTGACTAAAGTATTTCTTGATGATGATGCAGAGATTTTTAAAGCATAGTAAATCTGATTCCTTGATTTCTATTACAGTATTTTTTTAAATTTTAAGTGCCCACAGAATTTATTAAAGGAAAGTGTAAAAGGCTTTTTCTACATTGCAATACCATTTAAACAGGACTCCAGAAATATAATACTCAGAGCATCTGTTTATTTCTCTCATTACAGATAAAGCTATATATGTTGAACATTATTCTATTAAGACATATTCTAGCAGTTTTGCCAGTAGCATTTCTAGTGTCCTTTCGACTTGTGATTTAGGGAAAACATTATAGTTTAATCCCACTCCTTATTTGACCTAGCTAGGGAAATGATCACTCATTCCTAAACTTTGGTTTGTTTGTATTGAATTTTTTCACCTTACCATTCTAGTGTCCTTTCAGAATTAATGATAAAGTCAGACGAAGTTAACCCAGACTTTTCAGGAATAATAATTTCTCCTTTATTTAAAGTGAAATTATAGAAAACCCCAACTGTTGGAAACCACCAGAGGAACTTGCTCAACAATTTTGGTGGCATGAAAGCTAAAACCTGTAAATTTACTCCTTGCCACCAAAGGCTTACCAACTTTTTGCATGGGGAATTGAATATTTTATAGGCCATAATTACTGAATTTGTATTTAAAAATGATTTAAAAATGAGAAATTATTCAGTGGAATATGTAGAAATATTGCGGATTTCTTTGCAAGATTACAATGGAATTCTTAGATCTGATGAAATATACAATTGAGAGTAATTCTAATCCTTTCATAAGTATAACATTATAAAGTACTTGTAATTTCATAAGGAACAAAAAACAGGCCTGTTATAATAAAAAGAATGATAATTTCCCAGATAAAATTTTCATGTGTGCAAGAGGTGCTTCTTAGGGTTTATGGAGTTGGATTTTCTGTTTTTTATTACTGCTCATATACTTCTTTTAGTTCTCCGGTTTACCTCACACGTGTCTGATTGACATTATGATGCATTCGTGAGGAAATTATGAAAAGTTGTATTCATGCAACTGTCCTGTAGTTACAAAAGAACTTCACTGCATGAAAAGCAAACATATCATTCAGCAGACAATGCTTAATCTGTTCAGGAGCCCAAACCTATTGCTGTTCAAGGACAGAAGAAAGGAGAGGGATTAATTTGAAGATGCTTGTGCATGACATATGGTAATTTCTCCATAGGAAGGAAGTGTCAAATGGTGACCTCTAAATCTTAACGTTGACCTTCAGTTGTAGAATGTGTGCGCCATACGGTCCTTTTGCCTTTTCATGTGATAATTTAAGCTGAACATTTTCCTGGTAACATAACTTTTTGGGGGGGAGGGTGGGTGTTGTTCCATCTATTCTATAAGGATTATAGCATTCACAGTAATTATTTTAGAATATAAAGCATTTGTATCATAAAAATATTTTTTAAACTGAAGAATGGAGCTATGTTAGGAGTCTTCTAACAAGAGTTAAGTATATTTAATTTAACTTTAAATTGTTATATTTTAAAAGTTGTATTTTACAAGTTGGTATAATTTAAATTGAGTTTTTATAAAATGAGTAATAAATTGAAATGATCTCAGTGAATATTGGTTGGAGAGATTACAAAATAATTTAGGCATAATGTTAGGAAATAAATTATTAGAAAAAAATGTAACTGACAATCCGAAGACCAAAATAAACTTTTCATCATGTGATACATTTTAAAAATTGAATTACATTTTTGTGAATTCTTAATATGCTTATTGTCATTTTTTTCATTGTAGCCTTAGTTATTTTAGAACTTCTTTTTATATTAGATGACACATCATTCAACTATAAATAGATTTTGGTTTGAACTACACTGTGATTGCTATTCAATAAAATATATCATTTTACTGCCATAATCCTTAATAATCATACCTCTCTGATTAAAGCATCATTTTTCAGTTCTACATTTACTATATTTTGCCAACCTTGTTTTTTAGTATTCACTAACACTGAGCTTTTTTTCAGAAACCGCTGTATCTCAATTCTCTCCCCTTTTATTTCTTCTATTTTCTGCTGCAAGTTGCTGCACCTGTCGTTTCTGCTCGGTCTGATGCTGATCACTCTGGCTCTGACCCTGCTTCTACTCCTGCTTTACATACCTGTTTCTTAGTAAATGAAGGTATTCTCTCTCAACTTTCTAACAACTTTCTTTCAATCTGTGCTTTATTCTAGTGTATGTTCTTTTTATCTAATTTATACATTCATCTGCTTTGTTATGTGTGAGATCCTAAAGTTTCCATTTTATAACTTGATTTGCTAATGTCAGTAATAAGGGTCGATTATAAAAATGTAATGTTGTTCCTGGCTGGTATAAACCATGTTTCCTGTAATCTAGAAGGCTATTAAAGGAGTGCAAAGATGCTAATCTGTGATATGAAGTAGGCATTAAAAAGGGGGTTGGTTTTCATGATGATGTTTGCCATGTGATCTCTGGTGTTAGAGCTAATTAATTTATTTTACATGTATCATTACTCTGTGACAGACACTCTTTATTCTCTGTACACAACATGTGCCCTGGTTAGAGGGGAAAGCATTTTTGGAGCTCTGAAAATGTTAATGGAATCTACAAACCTTTATTCCCCAAGAGCTATCTAGGATTATTTATACTGACTGGAAGCTTAACGGAACTTGTGAGCTGTGAGTTATATCCAGTCTCTTCATTGTGGGCTCAATCTTCACCAGTTTATATAATATAAAAATGAGTAAATTTACAAAATCTCATATGTAACCCAGAATGATTCTAACTCTTCACTAAAAGCAATAATACCAGTCTATTCAAACAGAAAGAGTGATACAATATCTATAAAATACAGAGCCCATGTTCTAAGTATCATTCCTTCGGAAAGAAAACATGGTACCGTAAAAGTATAACACATTTTTTGTTTGGTTTCCTTGTCATAGACCTGTACTAAGGTTTGTATGTTAAGATTGGATTTTAGCAAAAATAATTAGGGTTATATTTGTTAAGCTATTGTGAAAGGTAGTAATTCGTTGATTCAAAAACAAGCTGTTGACTTTGGACCATGGTGAGAATCATCTTCATATTAAAATTTAGCTCATTAATACACTTCATACTTTTATGAGACATTAAAACATTTAAGAAGTTACTAGGTAGTAATTTGTTTATATGTATTTGTGTATGTATATATGTATTCCTCTGTTGAAAATAAATTATAATCTAAAATGTGTGTGCTCATCACCTTAATTAATGCAATTATATATTCTTAGTTGTTGCGAATTTCCTTACTGAAAAGGTGAATCTTTACATAGGTAGCTTGTCTCTCTCGCTCTCTCTCACTCATACCCTCTTTAACAATCCCAATAATCATTTTGAGTTTTATGGTAGGGCTTTTGTTGTTTTTGTTTTAGAATACTACAGCTTAGATTATTTCAGAACACTGATTTGCTAAAATTTTGTGGTCACAGATAACTCACCTTGTAATATGAACACTTTTAAAATAGGGTGGAAATGATTACTTGAGAGTGTCTGGATACCAGTACTTTTAAGTATTGCAGTGGTTTACATTGTTATCTTTATATAATCAGTTTCCATATTGTGGAATAGAATTTTGGAAAAAACAACTTTTATTCCCATAGATTAGAGTTAATGATACTTAAAATTTTATAAATTTTAGATTGTTCTTATTTTGGGGAATGTAGGAATTCATTTTTTCCTTTCAAACTTGGTGTTAGTTTACTTAAGTTATGATTGTGACTAAACTTCTGATTCATTTTGTAAGAAAAGGGATCAATAAGTACGTTAATTAAAGGCCCTCTGACAGAGAATAGAAAACATCTCTGTTGACTGATACGAAGGTAATACCAGATGGCCAGGCCTTAAGTGACATGAACTTATCTTTGGATATCTGTGTGAGTGCCCTTTTAACTGCCAGTAGGTTCGAATCTAGAGCTCTGGTATGTGTTTATTTCTGTGCTTTTCTAAACCTGAATATATGTCTTATTTTAGAGGGAATGTTTAGAAATGTGTTTTTCTTGTGGAATTGGTATATACTTAATGTGGAAATTTATTTTTATTTGTTTTAAAACTTTTAGAGTTCTTAGAGCTGAAATTTGAGAGGAAATACATTTAGAAATGAAATACATTTGTTATATCTTTGCACAAAATATCTAATAATAAATTGAAATCATAACATAATTGAGCAGATCTCCCCTTTTTGGTTTAGGTTTGGTATACTTACATGCAGAAAAATATTGGAATTAGGGGGAATACCAAAGCATTTATAATATATTACATTTTAACAGGATGGAGTCAGTTGGCTGCTATGCATTGTGTTATGCTGCCAGACCTGCTGGGATTGGACAGATTTAGGCCCCCACTTCTAGAGATGCTGGCTCGGAGATGGCAAGATCGATGCTTGGAGGTAATATCGAGGTGATGTGGATAGAAAACAAAAACATTAAAAAGGCACTGGACAAGTGTAAATTTGAAACAGAAATGTTATTTTTATCTAACTTCTTATCACCTGTTTATTATGTGATAGAAAATATGGATCCAATGATTCTAAACAGTAATGTTTCAACTTGCATATTTGTTTACTTTTTTTTAATCTAGTGAGTATTTGATCAAAAGTTTTATATACTTATGGAACAGTTTCTTAAGTATTGATTTCTGTGCAGATCATACACATACATACACACACACATACATACAGCCCACCTCCCCCCCAGATTGCACATTCAGGTATAATCACATCAATCAAATTCTAAGTGAATAACCATAGTCCAGTGGAAGGTCGTGTGTTATAATACAAGGGGAAGGTCTTTGGAATTAGAAGAGACCTGGGCTTAAAAATCAGTTCTGCCAGTTATTAACTTTGTGACCCTAGGCTATGTACTTAACCTATTTGAAGCTCATTTGTAAAGTGGGGATAATAATATATTCCTCACAGGATTGCTGTCAGGATCAAATAAGATAATGCAAGTAGCACAGTAAGTACAGAGCCTGACACATGGTAGGAGCTCAGTAAATGGTAGCTATTATTTTGTGTTAATGGACTTGTGTGGTATTAGATATTGCTTGCAATATAATATCACCAGGGATTTGGAAATGTTTTATGGAGATTTGCTTATTATAGCATTTGACCCATATAGCTATAGCAGTTTATGTCATTCAAAAGTTTTAATTTACCAAATTTAAATAGCATCCTGTCCCTTTCCTGGTCTCCCTTCCCTCACCTCCAAGTGGAATTGCAGCATACTGAAATGTTCATGGTTTTGCATTTGAATAATGTTTGAATTCACTTCAAAAGTTAGTTATAGTTAAAAACAATTTTTATTTGAATTCTTATCAGGTGCTACCGAGTTATCTCTTCAATTATAAATACTCAATAAATTGATTGGTACATACCTTGACAGTTGTCTAGCTTCTTTGAACCAATGGGTGTGGCACTTTGGCCAAAATAAAACAAAACTAAACTAAAACTGCAACATAAAAGTGTGTGCCATGTTGAAAGAAAAATTGAGATAATATAATTTTGAAAAATAGTTTCCTTTTATAGAATTAATGCCATTTCATAGGAATATATTTGCTTGTTTGTTGAAAACAAATTGTTCAAGCCAGTCTTAGGTATACGTGAATTGCGTGGATTAATACATATATGTTTGTGTAAGCAATATCTATTTAGCATTATAATAGAAAGAAATCCACTAGACAAGGTTAAATTTCTTCAGGCTGAAAGAGAAAACATTTAATAATTCTAACAGTGATTTTTTAACAATAATATTTATATGGAAATTAAAAAAATTTTAAATGCCAAATTAAAGCACAAAAATATTTTTGTGCAAGCCTTGGAAAATGAAGTTTTAAACCCCAAACTGATTAAACATTCAAACATTATTCTATTAGTGTTAAAGTATTTTTAAGTGAGATCATTAACTGAAAATCTTTGATTTGCTTGCATCCAGTTTATTCACTTTAGTACTTACTTCATTGTTTGGTTAGTAGTATTTCTCATGTAAATAAATGTGGTTTGTATATTTTCTAGCTTTCTTTCATTATGAACTTGCTCGTGTTTAAACACCTCACTCACTGGTCTGCTTCCGTTATTTGCATTTGGTTCTGTGGTCTTAGGTCAGAGAAGCCGCACAGGCCCTGCTTCTAGCAGAACTGAGAAGAATTGAGCAGGCGGGACGGAAGGAGGCCATTGATACCTGGGCTCCTTACTTACCTCAGTACATGGACCACGTCATGTCACGTAAGAGCTCTCATGCTTTTCTACAAAGCTTTTCATGCATGTGTAGGAAAGTACCAAAACTTGCACTTATGCTTGCTACTGCCTATTACCAAAAGTGAATCATTGACCTTAAGGTGAAAACAGGGGATCCTCAAATTCTGCTCATTCATTTTCTGAATCCTTACGGTTTGGAGTTTGGTTTTGTAAAAAGTTATGTAAAATAAATATCTAAATATTCACAAATTCACTGACCCTTATAAAGTTAACCCTGAATCGAAAATTCTACCCTGTTAACACTAGCATCTGTCTCTGCCTATTATTATGATTGTGGGTACCAACTTTTTAGATATTGATCTGATATGTAAGTACAAATACAAGGCAGATCATTCCAAGTGGAAGTTGGAATTGTGAATCCTTAAGAATCATCTGGTAGGTTTAGACCAGTTGAAAAAGAGAAAAATAGCAAGGATTTTGACTGAAGAATCTTTCAAAAGAGTATAATTTCAATGGACTGGGAAAGATCATGGGAAAAATTGTTGAAATTCTGGAATAGCTTTTGTAAAGTAAAACCTTTGCAATTATACTGCTAGGTCTAAAGTGCATTGAAGAAAAGTTACAGTGCGCTGTGATAATTTTTTTCTTTTTAGGAAAAGTATGCTTCATTCCCAACTCATCATTTAATTCGTTCTTTATTCTTCTAAAGAAGAATTCAGAATTAAAAGTTTAACCTGTTATACTGTGTATAAGATAAATCAATTTCACTTTTTTAAAAGGATAAAGTCTCAATGAATCTTAAAAAAAACTTTTTTACTGTGGAAATTTGTCCTGGGTATAGGTGCATTCATTTTAAGTGACCTGTTGTCAATACCAGTTATTCTCATTTATGAGATACTCATTATACATGTCAAGACAAACAATACATGATTGTATAAGATAGAAAATGAAAATAAGATTCAAAAAGGGTTATAATTGTTATAACTGGTATAAGTCTACCAGATGTTTGCCAGTGGTGAGTATAGTGGTTGTTTAATTTAGTATGTGACCTTGGACACTTAACCTTTTTTCAGCCTCAGTTTTGTCACGGATGAAATGAAGATGATATAGTAGGACTTTATAGGATTATTTTGAGTATGTAGTGAGTGAATCTTTGTTAAGCACATGGAACAGTACCGAAGCAGTCGTAAGCTCTATATATTTGTTAAATAAACACATTTATAATCTATAAAAATGCAAATATATATTTCACATATAACCAAAACATCACACATTAACAACTCTAGTTACAAATTCTTTAACCTAAATAGGTAACAGACTGTTTACTGAGAGAGTATTGGTTTTTATTTGCTTACTGGGAACTTTTCTATTTTAATAAAAGGAAATTAAGTTAAAAATCCCGGGGTCTTTAGACATATGGACTCTATGTAAGGTATTCGGCTTAAAGTTCTTATTTAAGTATGTATAGGTTTAAAATTTTGTAGAATATAAAAAAAAATTGGGATTAAAAAAGCTCTCCTTTTGAGTATTTGGATAATCTGGCATGGTGCTCTTTGTTCAGTATCTTGTGGCTATTAACTTCATAGTATTCAAGAAAATAGAATTAGCTCATCAGCTCATCATAAACCTTATTGAACATAAGATGCTCAAATTTAAGGACAAACTATGAGTATAGTACTGTAAAGTAGACTGAAGGTGAAACTAAATAGCAAATTGCTAGAGATTCTTTTAAGAGGAGAACGCTATGGAAATTGGGAAATATGGAGAAACATTTTCAAGACAGCTTTATTTAGAATGGACTAGTGTAGAGTGGAAGATTGATTAAAGAAGAATAAGTAGATGGGAGGCTGTTACAGAAGGGGGGATATGGGACCAGACCAAAATGTAGATAGGGGAAGAATAAAAGACAATTCTAAGCCTAAATTACAGATTGCATATAAAGGTCTAAGGAAAACATGAGAGGTTAGTACAGTGTTGTATTTTTGACAGTTTGGGAAGAGAGGTGCCATTAGCAATGGTGGTGGATGCCATTTTATTTTATTTTTCCTGGAAAGAAGAGAATGGTTTTTTCATCACTGTTTAAATAAGCACAAACTAGATTGTTCTTATGTCAAATTTAAACCTTTCCATTTACGTAAATTAAAGTTCTTGGTATTTAGCAACAGTATCTAGGAGTACTTTATAAATTAACAGAAGGCTGGCTAACTTAAAACTTTCATCTTATCACTTACTATAAAATTGTATTTTTAGTGAAAGAATAAACAAATATCCATTCTGCATGTAACTAAAACACCTCATACTAACAACCCCTGCTGTAATATGTTAGTCTATTCTGGAACTTTTACACTGACTGAGTGTAAAATTAATCTTAGTTTGCTTTACTGAGAGCTTTCTATTTTAATAAAAGGATGTCAAGCTAAAGGAGTAGGGATTCTGAATGTGTGAAAGGAGAAGAAAGCATACAAAAAATGAGGAATGACCACATAGGGCTGTTGGACAGATTTGCTGTCCAAAGGGATCAAAAGGTTCTGGAGCCAGCTGGTGGACAGCCCACGCCTGCCATCAACCTGCTTGTAGCGAAATCGCTCTACCACGGCCATTTATGTTTGAGGAAGTGATTGCTGTGCCAAGTGGCAGCGTAAAGCGTTCTTTAGAGACTGAACGCCTCTTTCTAGCACAGAAATCCTTTTAATCACTGAAGTAGGTAAAATATTAAGCAATACGTCTGGTAAATACACTGTACATCAGATATTTTCTTATAATTTAATCATCCGAGCATTAAAAAATATGCATTAATTGCCTAAGCAATATGGACAGCTCCTAAGTTATGACCGAGCTTGATCTAAGAGTCCCTTTGTTAGATGTTTGTCTGAAACTCAGAAACTGCTTTTACCTGAAGAGCGGAAGGTCATCCTGGGCTGATGGACTGTGATAGCCCTTCCTCTTAGAGACCTGGAGTCTGGAGGTAGTAACTAAAGTGGGTAGGAACTTGCTCTGACTTCACACTCAGTAGGTGATTGAGCTGGGACTAAGATGACAATTCAGATCAACTGGGCATTACTGACTGGGATCTTCTGGAATTTTTTTAGGTATATGATGCAGTAACAGCCTTTTGTAGGTTTGTCTGAGAACCTAAGGAAAGCAGTGGGTCAGAAACCAGCTGCTTTTCTTAGGACTGTTGAGAGCATTGGAGAAGAAGCTTTTTGTAAAGCATACAGCCCAGTACATGATACATGTAGTGAATGCTGGTTGGCAGTCCACTTCTCTTTCCTGTATTGGTTTCTATAGTTTTGTTCTCCTTATTGTCACCACCTCAGAATTCACTCTAATTTATATTGCCCAGGGATTCTGGCAGTAAACCAACAATCCCTGGGGAGGAAAAAGGAGCAATACTCTGCCTTAACTGAAAATCCAGTTCACAAATTTTTATAAAACCCAAGTCCTAATTGAGTGATATGAGAATTTTGCTTCTGATAATGAAGCTCTGTCCTTGAACCTGTTAGGGAACATTTTATCCCTTACAAATGCAGACAGGATGTACACTTTTTTCTCTTCAATTTATTTACTTTGGTTGCACCAGGCCTTAGTTGCAGCAGGCGGGCTCCTTAGTTGTGGCTCACCGGCTCCCTTAGTTGCAGCATGTGTGCTCTGTAATTGCGGCTCGCGGACGCCTTAGTTGTGGCACGTGACCTCTTAGTTGTGGCATGTGTGTGGGACCTAGTTCCCTGACTAGGGATCGAACCCACGTCCCCTGCATTGGAAGGCGGATTCTTAACCACTTAACCTTCGTTGTGGCACGTGAACTCTTAGTTGCGGCATGTGTGTGGGATCTAGTTCCCTGACCAGGGATCGAACCCACGTCCCCTGCGTTGGAAGGCGGATTCTTAACCACTGTGCCACCAAGGGAGTCCCAGGATGTAAACTTTTTTTTTTTGATTTATTTATTTATTTTGGCTGTGTTGGGTCTTCGTTTCTGTGCGAGGGTTTTCTCTAGTTGTGGCAGTTGGGGGCCACTCTTCATCGCGGTGCGTGGGCCTCTCACTATCGCGGCCTCCCTTGTTGCGGAGCACAGGCTCCAGACGCGCAGGCTCAGTAGTTGTGGCTCACGGGCCTAGTTGCTCCGCGGCATGTAGGATCCTCCCAGACCAGGGCTCGAACCCATGTCCCCTGCATTAGCAGGCAGACTCTCAACCACTGCGCCACCAGGGAAGCCCCAGGATGTAAACGTTTGATGCCTAATTTCTGATTGGAAATTTGGGGATGAGTGCACTGTGATTCTTATTCTGGTTACAGGATCAGAATTCTAAATACTGCATACATTCTTGTGATAGTGACTTAAATAAATATTGTAAATATTTTCTGAGTTATCACTCTTCAGCATGTATTCGTAACCACTTTTAAGTTCCAGAACACTTTTAAAACATTTTACTGATTGTTCTTACTAAGGACGGATTACTGTTATTTTGTGAAACTGTTGTATTATGATGCAGGTGAAGGTAAAATGTTATGAGTTGTCTCAGATTTATTTTGAAGGGAAGATATTTTGCAGAACCCAATTTTATAGTTTTCTTATTTGTGACATTCTACATGTAGTGTTTTGATAATTGACTTTTTTTTTTTTTTTTTTAATGAGGTCAAGCACCTGCTACTTTATGAAATACACCCACACTTGCCCTTCATTCCGGGCAGTGACTGCTTGGAGGTAAATGCTGATGCTTCCTGATTTCCTTTGGCCTGTGTTTCAGGGTGACCTTACAGGGCATAAGGTCACAAGCGTAATTATTTCTTGTATGTTGTGTTCTGCTTGCTCACAGTGGCTCATCTCCTTTAATTTCAGAAACATTAAACACCTAAAAGTTACTACCATTATATAAATCAAAATCTTTTCCAAAGAGGGTGCTATTGTAATTTTATGCAGTTATGGCTGGTGTAGTATTAATTTGTATATTTATCATCTCAGATATTGATAAAAGGATGTGTAACACATCGTGTTTAATATGTATTGATGTCATCAGAAAGAACAATCC